ACCTTAAAATACTTTGGCAGGACTTTTTAAGTAATAGCTCCCATGCACTGCAACAAGCTCCCTCTTGGGTCACATTTGGCAGCATCCTTCCAAGCATATTCCGTAAGACTGTTACCACCATCCCATTCTAATGTGCCTTTGAATTTGGGTAATAGTGGATGGCCATTACACTGTTTATAGTATGTATACTGGACGTTATGTTTTATATTTATTCATTCTTTTACTCTGTTTTGTTTCTGGACTCTCCACTGATGGTGAATACTGCGAATAAATTAACTAATTGCAATGATCACATTTTAGTAATATGAAAGCACAACACTAAGCTATATAGCAGTGATGGCGAACCTTTTATAGTATGAGTGCCCAAAAACTGGCTCCGCCTCCCCATCCCCGCCTGCTTGCAGGGCCACTCACCGCCTCCAGAGCCCGCTGCAGATCACCCAGGCAGCCCAGCAACGCTATGGCAGCCACGCCCTCTGCCCGCGCCCTGTCTATGCTGCCTGGCTGCCATGTCCTTGGCTGCACTGCTCCGTGTGGGCCACCCTCAGAGGTGACTCTCCTTCAGGGGGGCTGCTGGAGAGGAGGGGGTCGCGGGGGAGGCGAGGCTGGGGCAACGGCACGTGTGCCCACAGAGAGGGCTCCGAGTGCCGCCTCTGGCACCCGTGCCATAGGTTTGCCATCACTGCTATATAGATTTCAAAACAGAAATTTTGATATAACAAGTCTTAAAGGAAAATTAAATCACCCCACTTTAAATAGGATTTAAATAAACTTATAGGACATAGGATATTGCAGAACCAGCTATCACTGGCTCTGTACAGGATTTCAAGTTTTTCCCACTTTTTTCACTTTTAGAAAAAGGAAAGTTTTCACTGTGCTGAGTAACAAAACCAGCTCCATCTTGTTTCATGCAGGGATAGTTATTCATGAACTGCTCTTTGGAGAAGGCATTTGAAGTTTACAGGCTCTAGCCTGAAATATAGTGAGAGACGAAAATTTCCTCAACCTAACAGAATTCAACAAATAAAAGCTGTTTTGCAGGAACAATATTGCATATATTCCTCTATAGCTTTTCCTGCTCAAATAGAAAATATTTCACAATTATATGGTTAATAAAAACACAAGTCTGCCACTAAGCCAGATTTATAAACCATAATAGATGATTACCTAAGCCAATCAAACCACATTACGCCTCTGTACTATGTCAGCTCAGCCTTCTAGTGATTTTGCAATACATTATAATGAATCAAACCTAGCTTAATATAAATACATGTTGGATTCAGACAAAATCATATTTAAGGCTGCTAAAATCAATATGAACAGCTAATTATGAGTAACTTGAGTGCAATTGATTTAAGCAGGGCTATCATATTGCACGCAATTCTATTTCATCTACCTGGAAATACGAGGGCAATTCGGAAATAAACCTCCATTTGGTTATCAATGACTCGCAGATACAGAACTTTTATTATACACATTAGAAAACTACATTATTTTTCTACATAATCGCCATTCAAATTGAGGCACTTGTCATAATGTCTTACAAGGTTTGAAATTTCTTAGTAGTTGCCCGGCGCCAAATCTGGGCTATGGGGGGGGGGGGGGTTTATCAAAAACATCCCAACGGAACTTCTTCAAAAGTTCTTGGGTGCGTCTAGCGATGTGCGGGTGAGCATTATCGTGAACCACACCAAAAGTCAGCATGCCCTGACACTTGTTATGGATGGCTCATGAGTTTCTGTAATGTTTCACAGTAGATTTCTGAATTGATGGTCGAACCATGCTCCATGAACTTCATTAGCAGTACTCCTTTGGCATCTTCAAAGTTAGTTGGTTAGTTCACGATAATGCTCGCCCGCACACCCCTAGATACACCCAAGAACTTTTGAAGCAGTTCTGTTGGGATGTTTTTGATCACCCCCTCCCCATAGCTCAGATTTGGCGCTGAGCAACTACTACTAAGGAATTTCAAACTTGGTAAGACATTATGACAAGTGCCTCAATTTGAATGGTGTTTATGTAAAAAAATAATGTAATGTTGTAGTTTTCTAATGTGTATAATAAAAGTTCTCTATCTGTGAGTGTCTGTCATTGATAACCAAATGGGTGTTTATGTCCAAATTTATTTATTTATTTATTATTTAGATTTATATCCCGCCCTTCTCCTCGTAGGACTCAGGGCGGCTGACAATCAATTAAAATACATAAATAACAATACAGGTTTAAAATTAATTTAAAAGAAATATTAGAGATTGTCCAATTTAAAATATTGATTAAAACCCCTCTAAAAATTACCCTAGGCCAGTCCTGCGAGCTGGA